CCCCCCCCCCCAGCAGTAGGACCCAGGCTCTGAATTGCCATTTTGGTAGGAGCCCTGCGTGCTGGTCTAGCCACACTCTCGCCTGAGGTTGTCGGGTTTGTCATGAGCAACACTATGCATCTCCTGACACCTGGGCTGGATCCGGGGTGGCGGTGAGGGGAGGCCTCTTCCAGAGTCATATGAACAAGCTCACTGAGACCCCCACCCCAATGGTTGGTTGGTCAGCACAGATGGTTCAAAGAAGGGTGAGAGAGTGTGGCAAGAAGAGCGCTCCCCAAAGAAGTGCATGTCCATTGCGAGCCAGCCCCAATCTATTCACTACCCAGTTTGTTCGTGTAGCATCCACTTAAGTGCCTAAGGTGTCCTGGGCATTGTTCTGGGTGCTGGGGGTACAGCAGGGAATAAAGTGAAACCCTCGGGGAGATGGCATTCTTGACTGGGGAGGGAAGCTGGACAGACAGACAAAAATATAGAGTAGGGCAGATGGTGAAAAGGGCAATAGGAAAAAACAACGACATAAAACAGAGTAAGGGGGAAGAGAACACTGAAGTGAGGGAGGGTGGATATTTTATAAACAGTGGGCAGGGAAGGCCTCTCTGAGGAGGTGGCATTTCAGCAGAAATCTGATGGAGTGGGGAGTGAAGGAAGAGTATTGAAGGCAAAGGCAACACTAAATAGCAAGGCCCTGGGGCAGGGAAGCCTTGATGTCTTAGAGCAGTGCTTCCCAAATGCTAGCATCAGAATCTCCCCGAGGGAGATAAACACAGGTTTGCTGAGCCCCACCCCTAGGCTTTCTGATCAGTAAGTCTGGGGTGGGGCCTGGGAATTTTCATTTCTAACAAGTTCCCCGTGATGCTGCTGCTGCTGGCTGGGGACCACACTGAGAACCACTTTTGTAGAAGAATAGCTATGAGGTCAGGGTGACTGGGCAGCTCAAGTATGTAAGGGGGCGTGGGGGGGGAAGTAACTGATGGGTGAGAAAGCTGGCCAGGGTCAGGTCATCTCAAGCTGCCTAGGAGTTAATCCTGCCTCTGTCAAAATGAAGATGCTGATGCTGTAGGTCTGGGTTGGGGCCCAAGATGCTACGTTTCTAAGGAAGCTCTTGCGTGGTAAGGTGATATTGGCCTGTGGGCCACACTTGGAGAATCAAAGACTCCAGGGCCTTTGTTTTGTGCTAGATGACCTGTCAACCAACACTGGTCAGTATTGGAAAGATGAAAGATTGGAATCTTCAGACGGGAAGACTGCGTCAGAGAAGCAACGTGGCCTGGTTGACCTTAGGGGAGCTCTGTCGCCTGGTGGAGATTGGCCTGGTTGGGACAAGGGCACAAGAAGAAGAGCAGTTAGGAGGCCACTGCAAGGACCAGGCCAGAGATGAGACGGCTTGGACCAGGACAGGAAAGGAAAGAGTGCTGAAAAGCCACACTTGTGACATAATTGGATGGCAGGTCAAACAGCATTTGCTGACGGATGGTGTGTATGGTGTGAGGACAGAGAAGAGGGAAACTCTGAGGCTCTGGGCCTAAAGATCTAGGAGGAGGGAAGTGCATTTACTGAAGCAAAAAAGACTGAGAGGAGCAGGTCTTGGGGTAAAACAGGTTATATCAGCTTCATGAGGCATGGAGAGAAGATCATAAAAAGGTGACAAGTTTCTCTGTGATTTTCCCAGTTTGTCGGTTCTGGCTCTGTGGTTAAACCAGTCTGTCTCGATAGCTGGGCCGGGATGACTTAAAGAGAAAGAGAATGCACG